GCCCGAGCGGCTGGCCAGCCCTTTGGTCCTATAGGGCTGCTTTCTACATAAAGGTGCCTTAATCACCAATATATTGAGTAGTATTATTTATTTATTTATTTCTTTTCCATTTATTAGGTCTCCTGACGACATATCTGGGATCCATATTTCCGTAGTGTCTAAGCATTGCATTGCATTGCATTGCACGGGCTGGATCGGTCGGCTAGCACACTGATCCTACTAAGCTACGCCTCTCTATTTAATGGTACCCTAATCCTTGGAGTAATTAGTAATATTAATTCCTTTTCCTAACTAATAATGCCATAATCTGTAAAATATTTAATAGTGTTTATTCCTTTTCCTGACCTTAAACCTCCAGAGGTCACACCTGAGATACGTGTAGTTCCTGTCCACTACAACCGATGTGACAATTTTGTACATCAGAAGTCACGAGAAAATTTCCTCCTCAGGTTCTTAAATTGAGAGATTACCAAATGTCTCATCATATAATTCGTGATGTGCATGAACAGATTCACGAGATTCCCAGTGTAGTGAACTGGCCAGTCAAACCAGCTAACTACCTGTATCTCTAACCTGGGCAACCTAGGTGCACACCGCTTAACTAATACCGGACGCCACTAATATTACTGTAAAAACTGTAAAATGCCATCCTCCAACTTTTAATGGTTTAAACAGCGGGGTTTCTTGAAAGTCGCCCCCGCTCAAAGGGGAAGTGCCCGCGCGCCTGGTTCGCTACGAGGCATGCGTCGCTGGTCAGCTAGCCCCACGTCAAAGGGTTAGACCACTATAGTCTTTCTATTTTGTGCTAAATATTTATTATATCTTGTTTTATGGCGAATTCATTCGCCAAAGACTCAGCGGAGTGCCTATTGTAGTGCCCATGCACTACAGATTCCCGTGGCCGTCGTCCCCATGGCAGCAAGTGGCGTTCATTTAGCAAGGGCTGCGTGGACTTCCAACACACGCATTTCCGAATATGTTGACTATGCTTCTGATGGCATCACAACCGGGTTGGTCACCGGCCGGCGTTGCAAGCCGGTGTCGGCAGCACTCTCCATTTTGCTTGCCGCGCTCACTGTGGGATATGTTGTCTTGCGGTGCTTCTCCGCACTAAAGGCCCGTACATTTGAAAATGACAATGGAATAACTACACGAAGACTTGCAGGGTTTGCCGGAGACTCGTGCCATGTACGTTGTTGCTAGTGGAACACCATAGTTGCTGGCGAAATGCGGTGGGTGGCTTCTTATCGCATCGCTGTCTGTGGGTGAGTGCAGACTTGAGCCAACCATGTATACTGTTAACGCATCTGCATTCAGGAAATCTCCACAGAGGTAAGGGATAGGTAGCTGGCATTATTTGCGTTGAGTCCTTCCGTAGCGCATACCTTCCGAAGCGCATACAACGTAGTCGACGAGATACATTTGACTTAAAGATACAAGAGAAGAGTGCAGTGCATATGGTTTCTCGAAGGAGGATGTAGTGTATATGGTTTCTTGAAGGAGGATGTCATTATCGTGTTGCGCTAACATGAATGCGAGGCCACGGGAGCAGATTGTAGCCTTTTTTAGGGGAGGATGTGTGAGGTGTTTCTGGAAAAAAATGCGTTCCACTCTTCTTCGATAGTTCGGCATTGCAGTGAGGCGTCTTAGCCGCCAAACTGGTGAAAACGCGTTGTTGGCATGCCTACTGTGACTCGAAATGATCGGTGTTCGCATGGTTGAGAGCTTTTTACCACTATAGATGAAGTGTGAGGATGGCTTCGATGTATGGTGTATATTCAATTCCTAGTGCAGCGGCAGGCTCATACTGTCGGGGGCCTTGGTGCGTTGTTGCTTGTTTAGGCGTTCCCAGGGCAGCTGCATTTCTACGTTAAGCGTTTCCTCTGTACCAGTTTTAACGGTTCAGCAGAGTTGTTCTCTTTGTGCAGGACAAACTGTTGACATGATGCCTGGTCGAAAGTGGGAATTCGAGCATGCTGTTCCCATGAGTTCAAGTTGCAAATACGTTTCGGACTGTTGTGAGGCCATCAGCAAAGTTGAGGTAGTTGCTGTTCTGCTCTAAATGAGAGTCCTGCTTTATAATCATAGTAATTCTTGGGACTATCTACTTTCTGTTGGGAACACTGTGAACTAAACTCGCCTAGCTGGGGACCGGCAAGCCAGAGTACCGTCCATGATTTTCACCACCCCCGGCAGTGCGACAGCACATCCCTGCCGCAGCGGGGCTCCTCCTGTCGACTTTCTCTCACAATCCTCATTGGGGCGGTCCTCGTGTTTTTCCCGATCGTGCACAGTAGAGTTCCAGTGCCTGTTTTGAGAGAATGATGCAGGATGGCTGCGTGGTTGAGATATACTTTTGCATGCGGGAAGCTCTAATTAGGGGCTTTAGTGCTTGATGGCAATTCACCTTTTGGACGTTCGATAGACATGAGGCCCTGGTGGGTCGCCTTGCGTATACACGATATCGAAAGAGAACGCATATATGCCAAACTTTGATTAAAATGGGAGATTGTAGTACCGTGCCGTAGTGGGGAAGGACTGGAAGCAGTACACGACGGTAGGCATGCGTGTCAGTGTCTACAGCAGCAACGGATGCATAGGGTGCTTCGGTAGAACCCCTTAGTGCGTGTAGAGCAATGCATTGCTCCACAGTGCTGTGCCTTGGGCTCTCGGGCTCTGGTTCGCCCCACTCTGTACAGCTTGCTTCTGAAGAAGCTCGGTGGACCGACTGATTTCAGGCGTGCAGGGAGTCTATGTGAGAACCGCATCGTTGCCATACCCTGTGTCGGAGGTGCAAAAATTTCATGGGCCAAGTCCCTGGGCCACCTGTGGAATGTGGAGAGGTGAATGCATTATACTGAAGCCGTTCTTTGGTTCCTAGGTTTTGAGGGTGATCCTGCAGGAACATACGGTTAAGAAGCGTCCTTCTCGGGTACGTGGGTATTATAATGAGAAGGCCGTTGGCAAGTCCGCACAAGCATCCTTGCTCGGTCAGAGTAGATCCCCGACACGGAAGCAGAAGTCTTCAATATTTCTCTACAGTATTAGTGCATGCAGCAAATGCTACTTATCTGTGCTTGCATGCGTGGCTGTCTTGCACCTTCACATTCAACAGGGTGCGTTGCAGGTTCGTTCTGGTAGTCGCTTCCGTCGTAGATCAATGCGCTTGAGCCAATGTCCCGAGGACGTCCGTAGGCTGGGTAGGAAGGTCACCGGCCATAAACGACCCTCATGTCGAGTTGTGTGAGCCCTGCCACTCGCGATAACCCTTGGACATGATAGGGGACTCTCGTTACAGTCTCAGTGCTGCCGGATGGAATGCATAGAGTGTGAAGACTTAGGGGCAAGCATCCTGTGCATTTTGGAGTTCCTTTTTCGTTGGCGTCGACTGCGTAGTGCGTCGTCGATGTGGTGACTTCGCGCAAGCGCAGCCGAGGCCTAAAGTCCGACTTGCCTTGCCGATTTGGTATGCGTGGAGGAAATATCGCCGAGGTTGCTGTATCGTGTTTAGTTTGAGCCCCCATATGGCGTGCCATGCTCTGGCCCTGTTTGTGCATTGCCAAGTATAAATGAAAATGTGTTATGGTCTGTTGTTGAGCTTTCTTGTCTAGAGATAATTCTGCGTGGCATCTGCGAATGCATTGCTGCAGTAGTTGTATCGACTTGACGGCTGAACACCTCGTATAAACCCATCTCCGGTGATGCCTGAATGCCTCAATATGGGCAACGTGGGCCAGAATACTTCCGATGTGTTCTGCACCTGTCTACAGACCAACTCTCGAAATCATGAGGAAGGTGTGCAAACTAAGCTGAAATTATGCATTCTTGAATGAGGGTAGTAGAAAAGGCAGCAGGTTAGAGGCAATGAGGTGGTAAATCCAGCTGCATAGCCGTGGAGTTGTGTCGCATTGAACGGCCCCTCAGCTAGGCCACTCCAGACGACATTGTAGGAGAGTCGAATAGGAATAGGAATAGGTACTGGAAATGGTGACACTCACATGCTCTCCACATGACACAATTGTGTGGAAATGTGCCACCCGCATCAATTGGGCAAGAAGGATTTGGTGTGAGGCAGCCATTAGCGGCACGCTGTAAGCGGATGCTTCAGCAGCATGCACGCTCGGTGTAAAGGCTGTGCAGGAGCTTTGGGGGGAGTGTCTCCCAACGTTACCAAGGGAGTCTGCTGCTCATGCAGCTAGACCTGCTAATGCAGTGTACATCTTGCGTTAGGAGGCTGTGGCCCATAGAGTTGGCAACATGACTTCCTGTGAGTTCGAGGGTAGTCGGCCCTGGTACCCAACAGCAATCCTTAACTGTCAGGCCTTCAGCACACAGGGAAGCTAGCGTGCAGTAGGCTACAGAACGCTGGATGTCCACTGCACGCCTGACGAAGCTTCGAATAACCAGTGGAGATAGAACGCCGGCCTGTTCCGATCCCTTTTCCGCGAAATGGCGAATGCAGCATTGTCAAACAGTGATCTCCACAGAACACTTGCGTGCTTTCGTTTCCGGGGGTCTGAAACCAGACACCACGAGCTCTGTGTTAAAGGAGGGGTGGTTTTGCTGCGGCATCATTTTGCTGTGTCGTGTGCCGTATATGAACGGGTAGATTGGAGGCTAGCAGCAATGGATTGAAGGAGTGAAGCGTTGCTGAAAAAGGGCGCAAGTGGAGGTAATGCTCGCTTAGCTGCTGCGCAGAATAGGGGTTGAGCGTGGTATAGGCGTGGACACCGTTCTACATTCTACATGCTTGCACTGCATCTCCTCCGTTGGTGGAATCATTTTAGCTCCCTCATCGCTTGGAACCATGTCCCCAGAACGTTGATCGCTGGTGTGGAAAGTGGTTGTTTGTGTCTTCCCTGTTGTTGGTCTACTGCTTCCCGGCAGTGAGTCGGTCTCTCGCAGGAGGAAGTACGTTTGGCGCATTGCCTTCCATTTGCAGCAATTGAGGCAAACGTAATCAAAATTACGTTTGCCACGGTGGCTGGACGGATTTGAAAATGGATTTTCGGCGTCCAGGATTGGGCAATCGCGAACTTTGTGTGTCTGTAAATGGAACGACTGCATGCACTGCAGCTTGGGCTGTGTACACGTGCTCGCTGGGTGACCTTGGCTGCTATACTGGATACCTATTGGGTTCTCACAAGTAACAAAAGAGACATTAACCGCCGCGCGCCCTCGGAGGCAGTGTGCTTGGCGATGAGAAAGGAATTTGATATATATTCGGCGGCGGTGTGTGCGTGTGTGTGTGTTAGACGGCAGATATTGTGGTGGAATGGGCGGGCTTGTGGTTCTGGTTAATTGTGGAATGTTTTACAATACATCAGGACTAGATAATGTGGACTGCGTGTGTGGTTTTATCTGCGGCAACGTGCAGACGGGCATTGTAAGATTATATGTAACGGTGATGCGTTTTGTTTGGATGCGTTTTGCTATTATATATCTGGTGCATGTGCTCATGGGGTTGAGGTTAGTAGTGCGAGAGGTTAGAAGTGTGCTGCATTGGGTTGGCGAAAGGAAGTTAAGTGCAGGGGTTGCCGGTTGCAACTTTTGCAAATAGTAGGTGTCGTGCAATTGGTGTGGGCGGATGAGGATGCGCTTGGCTGTGGTACATACAGGTTGCTGATGGAATTTTTGCTGAGCAGCTAGGAGCTGGATGGATGCGTGCTGCACTGTGAGGAATGTCTTGCAAGTTGTTCACTTGTGTTGTGTTGTCGAGGTATGTTCGTTGTGGGTGTGGGCTGCCTTGCAGGAGGATGTGCGTCAGCAGCACTGTAATGCAACTGTGAATACGCGGAAGAATGTCCGGGAAAGTGGGTGGACGTACGTAGGAGTGGGCGTGTTTTGGGGTTGCTAAAAGCAAGCTTGGGAGTTGTTGATGCCATGGCTATGCGGTGTGAAGGTGTGTTGTTTTTGTGGGTGTTCGTTGTTTCGGAGGAAGAAAAGGTGCGGTTGCTGGAGGCGAGAGGTAGTGAAGTGGGGCATGCCTGCGTGGGGGAGGCGATGGTGCAGCACGTATGATGACGTTTGTTTGGAGGTTCGTGCGAAGCGGGAGAGAGTGTGTTTGGGGATGAGGAGGGACTGTGATGGATACGCGTGTCGATACGCATATTGGATATTGTCGTGACATGGGAAGATAGTGCGTTACGGCGTTTAATATGCAGCAGGTTTGAACAATATGGCGGGACTGGACGTGTTTGTGTGACGAATGGCGGAGAACGACACTATACGATTAGACGGGTGTGGGGTTTGTTTTATATGGGTGCGTTTAGGTGTTATCCTGTCTCTTGCCTGTGCTGACGGAGTTGCGTGTATCTGCACGGGAGGGTAGAAGAGTGGTGTATTGTGTTATTGATAGCGGGTAGGTGTGGGGCATACGCGTTGCTGGTTGAGCATATAGTTGGAGGCGTGTTGCGTGGAGGTATGTGGAAGTGGGGTTTGCGTGTTGTGGAGTTGCGAAGGGCAGTTTGGGTGAGTCGGTTGATGCCACAAGCGTGTGGAGTGCATCTCTGTGGGTGTATATGAGTGCGGGTGTTTTATGTCGTTGAAGGGAAGCCGTTGCGGTGGGTGGAGCGGAGAGGCCGTTGAGTGCGGAGTGTATTGCGTTTGTGTCGTGTGGTTGAATGGTAGTTGTTGCGCGTGTGTCTGTTGTGTAATCGACGTTATGCTGTCTTTTGGTGTCGCATGTTTTGTGCATGCGCTCGCCGAGTTGAGGCTATTTGCGAGGGAGGTTGGGGGAGCGCAGCATTGCGTGGGTGATGGGAACGTACCTTTGGGCCTAACCAGTTGGATATCTGACAGCTAGTAGGTGTTTTCTATGGTTCGTATGTGGTGGGGGTGTTCCCAGTAGATGCTGGGGCTACGTCTAATGCATGTTGCTCAACTACGTGTTGGTTGGAGTTGCGCATCACTAAGCGGAAAGCTAGGGAAGTTTGGGTTGCGTGTCGTGTGTTTGAATGGTAGTTGTTGTGCGTGTGGGTTCCCCTTTATAGGAGGAAGTGGGTTAAGAGCAGGATAGTTAAGTTTCGAGTGTGCGAGCGGTCGCCCATTACAATGGGTGGATGTATGTAGGAGTGGGGGTGGCGTGGTGTGGAGTGGCGAAGGGGAGAGTGGATGTGTTGGTTGTCGTCACGAGTTTCTGCAGAGCAGATGTTTGTTTATCTGTGGACGTGGGTGATTATGCTTGTGGAGATGGAGTAGGTGCAGCGCCTGTAGAGCAGAGGGAGTGGAATGATGCCTCTTTCGTGTGGTACTGGTTATGGGTTGGCACAGGAGTAGGATTGTGTTTGGGGGTGTTTGAGGTTCTCATTAAGGAGGCAACAGTGTGTTTAGCGATGCAGAAGGAATGTTCTGGAGATGCCAGAGTGCGTCTGTTTTTTTGTGTGTAGATGACGGCAATTGGACATTGTGTTGGGTTGTGCGGGAATTTGGTATTTGATACTTTTCCACATTTTGTTATAGTAGGCGGGCTTGAGAAGGTGGCGGGCATGGGTGTGGTTGTGTGCTGGGAAGTGAAGAACGAGACAATAAGATTAGATGGCTGGGATGTGTGTCCTGTTAGGGTGTTTTTTGGTGTAGCACGCTTTGCGTATGCGCACCCCGAGTTGAAGATATTTGCGCCGGATGTTAGAGGGGAGCAGCATTGGGTGGGTGATGGGAACGAAAATTTGGATCTAACCAGTTGCACACCTCCCAGCTAGTAGGTGTTTTATATGGTTCGTAAGTGTATACGGGTGTGGGTGTTCGCAGTAGATGCTGGTGGTAGGTGGAATGTTTGTTGCCGAGATACGTGTTGGGCGTTGTTGTGTATCAGTATGCGGAATGCTAGGTAGGCTGGCGTTTTGTGTTGTGTGGTTGAGTGCTTGTTGTTTGCGTTTTGCGGGTGTTGTTGTTTTGGCATGTTCCTTGCATGTCATTGCTGCAGCAGCGGCAAATGAGATGTCTCCTGAAGCAACAGCAGGAGGAGGAGGAGGAGGAGGAGGAAAGGAGACACTTCGCAATGCATACAGCTGCATTGCTTGCCTTGTTAGTTAAGATGAAAAGAAATACTTATGTTTTGCTACACAGGGTAATAGACTACAAGAGAGACTCGGGCGGGTTGACGGGTTTGAGGTTAGTTGGGTGATATATTCGTGGGGTGCTATATTGACTAGGAGAGGGGAAGGTAGGTGTAGTGCTTACGCGTTGCAAATGGCGCACATACTAGATATGTTGTTCTTGCCTGGTGGGTGGAAAAGCCTGTACCTGATCGCATTGCATGCTGGCTGCAGGGCGACAGTTGGTTGCATAGGTAGGTGTTGGAAGGTGGTGTGTTGCAGGGAGTGGAAGATTAGGCAAGTTGGTGTTTGTGTGGAGTTGTTGAGCCTTGTTTGATGTGGATGTGGGTGGATTTATAGGAGAAGGTGCGTTGGAAGGATTGAAGTGGAATTGTGAGTGCGCCGTGGAACAGCTGGAAAAATGTGTAGACATATGTGGAAGTGCGAGTTCGTGCTGTGGAGTGGCGAAGGGCAGCTTCTGTGTGTGTGTGTGTGTGTGTGTGTGTGTGTGTGTGTGTGTGTGTGTGTGTGTGTGTGTCTGTAGTTACGGCAATGTGGGTTTGAAGTTGATTGTGCGGATCTTGTGCCACACAAGAGGCAGCTGAGATGCATGCAGCAAAGGGGTTGTTGAAGTGACGACTGTTGGCTATGTTGGCTATGGAGTTGGCTATGGCGTGGCACGGCAGGCCAAGTTTGTTTATTGGGCTATGGCGTGGCACGGCAGGCCAAGTTTGTTTATTGGTGTCTGAAGTTCCCACCTGGCAGGAGAGGGTATGTTGGCGATTACCATGGCGGATGATGGATATGCACCAGTGTGAATGTTGTAGATTATAGCGGCATGGGTGGGTGTTTGGTATTTGCTAACGTTTTGGAGTTTGACGGTGTAAGAGGGTTCGGCAACATGGCGAGAATGAGCGTCGTCGTGTGAGGGTAGATGAAATTGTTGAGTACAAGGCTAGGTGGGGAGGAATTGATTTTTGGTTGGATGTGTTTTTGTGTGACATGGGTGTTGAGGTTAGCATGGAGTGAGGTTAGGGGAGTGGCGTATTGGGTTGTTGAGCCTAAGGTGGGTGTGTAGGTTGCGAGGCACAGGTTGCTCCGATAGTAGTAGCTGTGTATGGGGAGCAGGTGGATGGAGCTGTGGTTTGTCGGCATACACGTGCTTTGTTGGCGGAATGTTTGTTGGCCAGTTCGGTGTTGGACTGCGGCGTGTTTCAGTGTGCAGAATGTTAGGCAACCTGGGTTTTTCTGTTGTGGTGTTGAGGCTTGTTTAGTGGGGGTATGGGTTGCTTTATATGAGGGACTAGGCTGAGAAGGAATGTAGTGGGATTGTGAGTGCGGTGTGGCGCAGGTGGAAAATTGTGTGGAGGTATGTGGAAGTGGGGTTAGTGTGTTTTGCATTTGCGAAGGGCAGTTTGGGTGAGTCGGTTGATGCCACAAGCGTGTGGAGTGCATCTCTGTGGGTGTATGTGAATGTGGGTGTTTTATGTCGTTGAAGGGGGGCCGTTGCGGTGGGTGGAGCGGAGAGGCCGTTGAGTGCGGAGTGTGTTGCGTTGTGCTGGGTATGGCGTGGCATCTTCGTCGAAGTGTTTTTTCTGGCGTTTGAGATTTGCACTAGGGAAAAGATAGTGCGTTTGGCGGGGATTAACAATATGGCGGGAGTGGAGGTGTTTGTTTGACGGGAGGTGGATAACGACATTGTGCGGTTAGGCGGGTGTGCGGTGTGCTTTGTTTGGGTGTGTGTGGGTGCGGCATGTCTCGTGGATGTGTTGACGGGGTTGCGTGTAGGTGTAGGGGAGAGTAAGAGAGTGGTGTATTGTGTAGGTGATAGGTGGGTAGTAGACGTTGAGCAAAGGCGCTGCAGTTCGCGCATATAGTAGGAGGTGTGTATAGTGTGGGTGTATACGGGTATTTTTTGGTCGGAGGAGTGTTGCGTTGTTGAGGAAATGTTTGTTGCCTAGCTAGGGGTTGTTGGGATGTGTGATGGAGTGTGTCGAGTGTTGGAGAAGTTGGTTAATTGTGTTGTGTTGTTGAGGTGTATTTGCTGTGTGGTTGGGTTGTGTTTGATAGGAGGCGGTGAGTGCGAAGGATTGTAGGGAGTTTGTGAGTGAGCAAGAGAGAACGTATGTGGACGTTTGCGGGGGTGTCTGTTTGTGAGGAGTGCGTGTTGGGGAGTTGAGGAGAATAGCGTGGGTCTGTTGTTTGATGTGAGGAGTATTGGGATTGGAGGTGAGTGTTTGTGGGTGTGTGTTGGTGTTTGTTCTTGTGGCGAGGGAGCAGGAAGCGTGCGGGGAGCAGTGGGGCGGGTGAGTGATGCATGTGGTGCGTGGTGCCGGTGGTTCTGTGAAAGGGCAGGCGAAGCCTTGTTTGATTCTCTTTGCGCGGGCGGCAACGGCAGTGCAGGATTGGGGGGATGAATAGCAGGGTAGCCTTCTGGCTAGCGAGTTGCAAATCACACAGAGGGTATGTGTATTATATAGTGTATAGGTGGGTACGTTTGTGGTTGTTGGGAAGCTGGTTGTTGATGGAGCGTTTGTTGCCCAGCTAGGTGTTGGGTGGAGTTGTGTATCACGATGCGGCATGCTAGGCAGGTTGGCATTTTGTGTCGTGTGGTTGAATGGTAGTTGTTGCGCGTGTGTCTGTTGTGTAATCGACGTTAGACTGTCTTTTGGTGTCGCATGTTTTGTGCATGCGCTCGCCGAGTTGAGGCTATTTGCGAGGGAGGTTGGGGGAGCGCAGCATTGCGTGGGTGATGGGATCGTACCTTTGGGCCTAACCAGTTGGATATCTGACAGCTAGTAGGTGTTTTCTATGGTTCGTATGTGGTGGGGGTGTTCCCAGTAGATGCTGGGGCTACGTCTAATGCTTGTTGCTCAAGTACGTGTTGGTTGGAGTTGCGCATCACTATGCGGAAAGCTAGGGAAGTTTGCCATGCGTGTCGTGTGTTTGAATGGTAGTTGTTGTGCGTGTGGGTAGGAGTGTTGCGTTGTTGACGGAAAGCTTGTTGCCTAGCTAGGGGTTGTTAGGATGTATGATGGAATGTGTTGAGTGTTGGAGAATTGGGTCATTTGTGTTGTGTTGTCGAGGTGTGTTTGCTGTCTGGGGGTAGGTTGCTTTTGATCGAAGGAAGTGCGTGGAAAGTATAGTAGGGAGTTTGTGAGTGAGCTGGAGAGAACGTATGTGTACGTTTGCAGGGGCATCTGTTTGTGAGGAGTGGGTGTTGGGGAGTTGAGAAGAATAGCGTGGGTCTGTTGTTTGATGTGAGGAGTGTGGGGATTAGAGGTGAGTGTTTGTGGGTGTGTGTTGGTGTTTGTTCTTGTGGCGAGGGAGCAGGCAGCGTGCGGGGAGCTGTGAGGTGGCCGAGTGATGCATGTGGTGCGTGGTGCCGGTGGTTCGATGAAAGGACAGGCGAAGCTTTGTCGGATGCATGTAAAGTTTGTGCTAAGTGGGAGAAAATGTGCGTTGAGAAAGGAATAGGAAGGATATCTGCCAGTGTGTATTATTCTGTCGGAGTGCATTTTGGAGGTATGGGCAGGTGTTTAATATTTGGTACTTTGTGAGTGTTTTACGACCTAGGGGGTTTAGAGAACGTGGCGGGCATAGGTGTGTTTGTGGGAGGGTAGAAGGAAAACGACAGTATAAGAGTGGGTGGGGATGATGTGTGATCGGCTTAGTTATGTTTTGGTGTGTCATGTTTTGTGGGTGCGTTCTGTGTCTGGATTCTCTTTGCGCGGGCGGCAACTGCAGTGCAGGATTGGGGGGATGAATAGCAGGGTAGCCTTCTGGCTAGCGAGCTGCAACGCACGCAGTTAGTAGGTGTTTTATACGGGCAATGAGTGGGTACGGGGGCTTGTGTTCGCACTACATACTGGTTGTTGATGGAACGCTTGCTGCCCAGCTACGTGTTGGGTGGAGTTGTGCATCAGTATGCGGAATGCGGAATGCTAGGCACGTTTGGG